AGTACTCCCCAAAGCAGCAGACATAAAACAACAGTTTGACAAATTGGAATATATCAAACCAAGAAGATTTTGTGTAGCAAAGGAGATAGTCAATAGCATGAATTGTCTACATGAATAGAAAGAAAGAAGCTGTTAAGGATTCAAATGCCAGGATATACAAATAATTTGAAAGAAGCAGTGTGAACAATGTCCAAAGAGCTCAACCAAAAATATGCAAAAAGTATGAATAAACACATCTCAGAAGAAAAAATTTAAACGGTCAAAAAAAGTTATGAGGAAGTGTCAAACTTCACTAGTTTAGTTGTCATGGAAATGCAAGTCCTTTAAGCCAGACTGAAAGATCATCTCGCCTCAGCTAGAACGCCTATTATAAAAAATACACAAAAGGTAGCAAGTGCTACTTCAAGTTGAAGAGCAACTGCTTCTACGCTTTTGTTAAGAAAAAATTACCCAAGCACAGTGGCAAGAATATGGAGTTTCCAAGAGACGACCACCAAACCCAGCTATCCCACTTCTCAGGATATATCCAAGAAAAATGACGTCAGCATGCCGAAGGAAAACCTGCATGTCTATGCCTGCTGCCAAACTACACTCAGTACTCAGACTGTGGAATCATCCTGTGTACCCATCACAGGACAGCAGACAGAGAAAATGTGGTACATACACACAATAGAAGATTCTCTGGACTTGGAAGAAAATGATATTCCTTCACGTAGCAAAATCAAAGAAGGAATTAAAAGACTTTTTGGTAAATGAAAGGAAGTTAGATACAGGAAGAGAAGTATTGCTGTTCACTCAGATATGAGTATTCTAGAGACAGTAGGTTGGAATTTATGATAGTGATTACCAATTGAGAAGAAGGGTAAGGAGGGGTGCTGACAAAAGGAGGCTGGAATACAGGTCCAAAATAAAGACAGACAGAAGAAACACATTACATGTTCTTTTTAAGAGAGAGAGAGAGAGAGAGAGAGAGAGAAAGAGAGAGAGAGAGAGATTCCATAGTAAGGTATTGCTTATTTTCTGGATAACAGAAGAGTAAGGCTCAAAGCCTTACACACTCTAATGAGAGGAGATGGAAAAATCAAGCATAGCTCATCACTTGGATTTGACATAAACTGTATGCATGTATCAAAACATCATACTAAAATCCACAAATGTGTATGTTTAAGGTCATCCTAAATATACAAGGAGAGCAAGGAAAACCGTTACTGTGATACTGCCAGGAGTAAATATAAAAAATCTAAAATAATAATACACGAACGACAGAAAAGCAGCATCAAAACATATATATACACAAAGAACCTGACATGTGCTGGAAATACAGCAGTTTTCCTAAAACATCTATCATGTACATAATATACATATGTTATTAATATTTAACTGCATCTACTTGTGTTTATCTGAAGTTATTTTTACTCTTCATTGGTCAAAATTATTGAGTTTTTTTTTAATCTTAGGAAAGTATAAGGGTATGTCTCAGATTCAGGAGAATCATGTCCACTAAACATTTCTCTTCCTTCCTTCCTTCCTTCCTTCCTTCCTTCCTTCCTTCCTTCCTTCCTTCCTTCCTTTCTTTCTTTCTTTCTTTCTTTCTTTCTTTCTTTCTTTCTTTCTTTCGCACTGTACAAATGCAAAACCAATGATCATAGCAGTTGTTTGTAGGCTCAAACATGACTCTCAGCTCTATCTGGCTGCACAAAACACTCGTATTGTTTATATTATGCCTCACTGTTTTCATAAAAGGAATGAGCCAAATTATTTGGCACCAACCCCACAAATTATATTTCTGGCAAATCCTCCATGTTTGACAGGAAAGTATACTTTGGTTTTTCATTCACAATAATCAGCTTCTCTATAATAATATGTACCTTATCAATATTTACTTTTTGAATAGGGATATATTCTAAGTTAAGTAAAAGTTATATAAATATTTATAATCTATGTGTATGTGTATATACATATACTGGGAAGCATCAGAACAAATGTAATCTAGATGTGATAAACAGGAACTCAAACTTTGTCCAGATGACTTGTTCTCTATTTTTTTTATTGGATTATCATTAAGAATAGCCACTGTGTAGTCTGATGGAGACCTTCACCCCCACTGTCCCTTCAGAACCATGCAGGAGCCATGGCCATATGCTTTCTTGCCTATTCCAACAATGGAACCTCATTCTTCTCCCTCTGTCTACCCTCCCAGCTCAGGACAGAAGCCCCACGTCATCAGTGATGAATCTTGATTGCTCACCCTATTTGAGGCGGATATGAAATTATCCATGAGATCCCAAAAGTTCTACCACAAAATTTGTAGGGACGGTCGAGAATTTTAGCGAAGTGTTCAGATAAATATCAACTTATACAAGTCAGTACCCCTTTTCTACAGCAAGAGCAAACATTCTCAGAAAAAGAGATCATATTGCTTATAATAGCTTCAAAAAATATCTACAAAATTAACCCAGCCAATAGGGGAAAAGGAACCCAACCAATGAGGAGAAGGGGCTCCACAATGAAAAGTTTAAGCCTCTGAAGTCAGAGATTGAGGAAGACACTGGAAGATGTAGATTGCTGGTGCTATATCTATTGGTTGGTAGAATATTGTGAAAATGATCTTCCCCCCAAATCAGTTTAAATATTCAGTGCAGCCCAAGTTAATACACACAGCATTCTTCAAGGAAGTACAAAGATATATTAGAATCCATATGGAAGAACAAAAGGCCCAGGAGAACTTAAGCATTCCTAGACAGAAAGAATGATGCTGGGGTTTTTACCACAGTGGATGACAGAGGAAAGTAAAAGAGTGGAAGAATAAGAAAATAGAAGACTAAAATAGGAGTTCCTGAACTCCAACCTCCTCATGTTGGACAAAGATGCCAAAAATACACACTGTAGAAAAGACAGCACTTCAGCAGATCGTGCTGGGAAAACTGGATGTCTACTAGCAGAAGCATGAAATTAGATCCGTATCTATCACCTACAGAAAAATCACCTCCAAATAAATCAAAGACCTCAATGCTAAAACTTCTAGGAAGAAAAAGGAGAAAAGGACTTTTTTTCAGGAAATAAGAACACAAATTGAGAAATGGAAAAATAAAACAAACAAACCAAGCAAGTTAAGAGGAAGCCCATAGAATGCACCTAGTTATCTGATAGAGAATTAATGTCTATAAAGAACTAAAAAAATATCAAGAGAAAAAAAGTTGCTCAATTAAAAAAATACGTTATGGATCTCAATAGGTAATTCAAAAATGAAGAAATAAAAATTATTGAGGATAAACTGAATGATATCGCTGACATTTTTAGCAATTAGGGAAATGGACATTAATTGAGATGTCATGTTTTGCTAGTCAAAATGTCTCAGTTCAACAAAACAACTGATGATAAATGCTTGTGAGGGTACAGGGAAACGAGAGCCCTCATTCACTGTTGGTAGAATTTCAGACTAATTCAGCTACTACAGAAATCGGTGTGGGGATTCGCAATAAGCTAAAGATAGATCTGTAGTACGACCCACTGACACCTCTTTTTGGCATGTTCAAAAAGGACTCAACATCCTAGTACAGAGACACTTGCTCCTTTTGCAATGGCTAGAAAATAGAAACCCAGCTGCCTTTGACTGATGAATGGCTAATGAGACTGTGGTACTTATAAAAGATCAATTTCTGTTCAGTTGTAGAGAAAACGAAAGGATGACTTTTGCAGGTAAACGGATGGGCCTGGAAGATAGTATATAGTTTTACTATGTAGTAAACCAGACCCAGAAAGACAAAGGCTGCATGCTTTCTCTTACGTGTGACTCCTAGCTCTGAATCTTCAGAAGTGCACCAAGAACAAGAAGTAGGAAGCAGAGAGGGAGCATGTGGGGGAGGGGAGAGAAAGCTCAGGGGGAAATGGCTGTAGCAGGAAGCTAGGGCTATGAAGACAGAAAGGAAGAAAACAGGGAGGGAGCTTAACTGGGGAAGAGGGAGAAGGGATAAGTTAACACCGAGGATGTTTGAAAATTCCACAGGGATACCTGTCAGTCTTTGGCTAGGCGTGGCGCAGAGGCCCTGGTGTATTTCACTAAACGCCTCGAAGCAGTGGTTTGTGGATGGCTCCGCACGGGTGGGTGTGCAGTAAGACTGTGGACAGCGAGGCTTCCACGGTGGTAAGTGCAGCCCTAACAGCAGTGGCACAGGCCAGGGGGTAAGTCCCAAGAATCCAAAAGCCAAATGTCCTAAAGAAAATAGTGACCTGAGTCACGGGCAAGGAGAGCAATATGGACTGCGTGTGCGATCCATGCATGATGAAGAAAGAGGTCATATGCGCGGTATCCTCCCGGGAGGAGGGTCATGAAGCTACACAACAATGTCCATCACCTCTGCTCTACTTCTGCAGCCTCAGAGGTTTGGATGTTGCACTCTGCGGTGGGAACACTTCTCTGCACTGCTTCAGTTTCCCTGGGGCCCTGTGCGCTCCCCTCCCTTCTCAGTTCCCGGGAATGATGGGGAATGCTTCCACCACGCTGCCTGACAATAACTGGACAAGGGTGGTTCCCGGGACTGACGGGACTCTCTTCACCGTTGCTTTTTATCAGCCATGCAAACACGATGCTTAGCCTCCTCTTCTGATTCTAACTGTGACAGCAGCTAACTGGGAGGGCACACACCAACTTCCACCTCCCCAGCCAAAAGCCAAACAGCACCTTCACATTGTTGGAAAATAATAGGATCTGTGTGTCCGTCTTACCGGGCCAAAGACACCACCTCTTTATTCTTTGTAGCCTGTCCTTTCGCTTAGAACTGGGACAAAGCTGCAGAGTATTAAATTGTTTCCCTCGGACACAGATGCCTCCTTCCTTTCTCCTTCATATTCCAAGGAGTGACATTTTCTTTTGTTGCTATCTTTAGTAAACAAACTCTAATGATATGAGTAACATTTAATATCGTATAGAGAGTGAACATAGACATTTAAGGTATACTAAAGCTACGGCACAGGTTCAGAGAAAAAGGAAAGCCACTGACGTCTCGATCCAGCACTCTTCCAGTACTGTTCAGGAAAAGCATCTGTTTCACGGGGTCCAGCAGCACCCAGTAGTCCACGTTGTCCTTCAGAGAGAGCTCTATGGTGGGGTCCGGTCCTCCAGCAGTCCCCTTAATCAACATATTGTCCACCACAATTGTACCTGTGAACCAAACACAGCCGTTTGTAACCATGCTCTCCTCAAATGCATTCTTCAGCGAGGATCACACTCTCTAACCCAGGTGGCCCACACATCTCGGTTAAGTCAGAGCGCATTCGATATCGCGCCGGGAAAGCTATTTTTTCTTGTCCCCCCCCACCCCACCCCCTGCCACACACATCTATCTTCATTACACTATTTGTTGACGGTATTTGGGGAAGATGCAGACCGGGGAGCAGGCTTTCAGATGCTTGCAAGGCACCGCCTTGCTTCTCAACAGCACTGAACGTCCCCCACCCTCTGTCCATCACTCCTCTCAGGATTAATGACTGAATACATATATTTTTATCCTGAACAAAGGAGGCAACTGTAGCAGCAGAGTGGAAGACCAAATGCACTCAGTGAGACTTCTGATATGAAAAGAGAGATCTTGAAAAGGAAAGAGAGGATGAAGTGGGGGTTTGGGGACGAAAGGAGCAGCAAGATTCCCTACAGTGAGAAGTGCATCCTGTTCTTGTGCGGCAAAGCAAATTCATAAAACACAAATCTTAATGCTAGCACGCAGACACACAGCAGAGCTCATCTCTGGATCACTCGACTGGAGCGACAAACTCTTCTGATTTTACATTTCAATGCTTACATTCTCATCTCTTTTATGTAGTTCTTGAGCAAATGTGGAAAAGAGAGCGCATCTCTAGTGCGGTATCTTCTCTGCAAAAGATTCCATGTATTTTGCAAGTTGAAACTGAATAGCAGTGATGCAACTCAAACTTATTTTTCCCCACATAGTAAGGATCTTCCTGCCAGTCAGGAATGGGTTAGGGTTTAGTGTAGCCACTTTCTGTTATATGTATTGCATGATTAGTGTATAGAAGAAACATGGCTGTGAAAATAAACACGAGCTCCTCTAAATGCCAGAAGAAAATGGAAATATTCAGATAACTTCTTGCCTTAGGACAGGGCACAACTCACAGACAATCCACAAGTATAAAGCTGGGCTTGAAAAATTAAATGTCAGATTTATCAGTCACATTTTGGAGAGGCAGGAAATTGGCCCTAAACATCACAAAAACTGAGCTACAAAAACTAAGACTGTATCATTATTTGATTTCCCCCCTGTACTTTGATAGTATTAAGGTGGGGATTGCAATGTTTTCCTAACAATATTCTATTGATGTGGTTTATCTGCCTGGTCAATTTTAAATGGAACAATTTTTCTCTGTAAGCAAGCGTGCTATGGGGGTGCACATATTCTTTACACATTTCCAAATTCCAGATATTATCTTCTTTTTTTTTTTTTTTTCTGTCTTCTGTAGAATAATGACAATCGCCAGACAGGAATTTCCACCCCTACACTGTATGCTTATCTTTGGAGCAGATCTGTGGTTCTGCATCTACACGCTGGCAGCAACTGAAATGACCCCAACAGAAGCTCTCACACGGTTAAGATTGTAGTGACGTCAGCTCCGGGAATGCTGACAGGCAGGGCCATCTCTTTCAGCCGTCAATCCTGCAGTGTGCATGTCTGCCTCAAGACGTAGGTGTCGAGGACCTTTTGTCTTTAAACAGATGTATTTAATTTTTTAAACCAAATATGCATTTATTTTTCCCCCAGAAGTTTAATGTTTTCAGCCCTTCTTAAAAGGACAGAATGTTTCCTAACAGATAACAGATTTATGAGAAAAAAATCTTGAGGACAGAATGGCATTCTTCTCTTCTGGTCTTTGTTTTTGCCATATCCGAGTTGGACAATGATTTTCTTTTTTCAGTAACATCTTTTTTAAAAAAGACATACTGCTATTTTGTATTACTGAAAATAGATTTTTTTTCATACAGTGTTTTCTAAATACTATTTCCTACCTTCAACTCCTCCTCAATTCTCCCCACTTCTCTCACTCAGACTTACAACCTTTTTTCCTCTTCCTCTCTCCTTTGAAAACAAGCAGACGTCTGAATACAATGATAAAATTAAATAAAGCAAAATCAAATAAACTCAAATAGGATGATACAAGCAAATGGAAGAAAAAGAGCCAAAGAGAAAGCACAAGAAACACACACAGACGCAGAAATACACATGTTCATACCCATAGGAATCCCATCAAACACAAACAGGAAACCACAATATATACTCAAAAAAGCTGTAAAGTAAACAACAACAATAAAGTAGAATAATAATAATAATAACAATAATAATGCCTTTTAAAAGTTTTATGAAACAAAGAATCTCTAAAACTGAGTTCATTTTGTGTTGGCCATCTACCGTTAAGCATGGGTCCTGACTTTAAGAGTGTTTTGTATACGCAGTGAGAGACTCCAGTGAGGAAGACTAGTTTTTCCTTTGTGCGTGGTTTTGATTTGGAGACAGACACTTCCACTCTCTTCGCCGTAACCGCATCTGACTGAGAACCATGCAGGCCATGAGCGCGCTGCCACAGTCCCCTGTGACTTCATATGAGAAATGGCCTTGCTGGGTTTAAAGGTCTTGTTTCCTTGGTGCCCTCCATTCCCTTGGGCAGTTACACTCTTTCCATCTCCTCCCCTGAGCCCTGAGGGGAGGGATTTGATGGAGATACCCCTTTTTCAGATGGTATGTTCCAAGGTCTCTCATAGCAGAATGTCACTAGGAGCCATTTCATCGCTACATCCCTGACCTCTTCACTCTCAGGTTCTTGTCTACCCAAGCAAGGTTGGGTATGGACTCCATTTCATGGTGTGGACATTAAATCAAATAAGATATTGGGTGGTTAGTACCGTAAACTTTGTGCCACGATTGCACCAGCCTGCCTTGCAGGGAGGTCACCGCTGTAGATAGAAGGGTTTGTGGCCGGGCTGGTGTCTACCTTTCTCCTATTGTAGCATACATAGTACCTTGGAGTACAATAAGTACTAGTCAGTAGGGATGAAGGCTGTAGGTAGGCACCAGCTCAACTTCTCCATGTTCAGTGAATCACCTAGGTTTTGTCTTTGGCAGTAGGTCTTACCATCTGCTGCTTGTGGAGAAAAACCAACAGCCTTGTCAATGGCCTGGAATGTTTGGGGTTCCCACGAGGCCCCTTTGACCAAGAGCTCGATCAGATGCAACTCAGTTCAGACCTAGAGGCTTCATTTGATGACGAGACACGTTCATTTGGAACTCCACCTAGCCTTATCATTTAGTAATTCCATTTAGACCTCATTCAATTATGCCTATACTTTAGGGCACTCTATTGTTTAAGGTTTATGTAAAACCCCTTAAATGTCCCTTTGTTTCTGCTGTCCCTCCCAATATTCCTTCCCTTGTCTCACTTTGGGTTATGAATAAATATTACCTTCTATGTACTTATTTCAAACACCTCAAGCTGCCCCATTCACATGTACAGGTTTATGCTGTTATGGACACCTTAAAAACTAATACACTTTAAATTTAGAATTCTGCTCAGATGTAGCCTGTGGTAGCTCAGTAACCAATTGGTTTCCCATAGTGAGGGGAACAAGGACTATTTCTGACAGGAACTCAATGACTGGCTCTTTGGCCTCCCTACCCCCCAAGAGAGGAGCAGTCCTGTTAGGCCACAGAGGAGAGCTTTGCAGCCAGTCCTGAAGATACCTGATAAAACAGGATCAGATGAATGGGGAGGAGGTCCCCCCTATCAGTGGACTTGGAAAGGGGCAAGGTGGAGATGAGGGAGGGAGGGAGGGACCGGGAGGGAATGAGGGATCAGGACACGGCTGGGATACAGAGTTAATTAAATGTAACTGATAAGAAAAAAATAAAATTCAAAAAAAATTTGGAATTTGAAAACTTTTAGTGAAGAAATAGCCTTTTTCTTTCTCTTAATCTCTTTTGGCTTTTCAGGCAGTGTCTTTCTATGTACCCTAGAATGCCCTCAAATTCACGACTTACTTGGTACAGGCTTCCCCACTGGCAGAGTGCAGTTGTGTGTCACCACAGGAAGTCCAGGAACAACTTTGTACCTGACTTCTCTCCATTTTCAGGTGTGGCATATATTAGCATATTACCATGATAGGTGTTAAAGAGTTAACGATGTAAATTCTACTGGCAATAAGATGCAGCTCAAGAGATTTTCATTTTCTGTTACTTAGGCAAGGCAGTGCTTACATAGCTAAATTTCTTTTTAACTTGAAAGAGTGCCCTCGGGGTGCATCGGAACCTAAATCCACTGGACGGAAACTTAGACACCAATACAACTTTCTCGTTCCGTCAACTTCCTTCTACTTACTTGCTCTCCTAAAAAAGTAAGTCCTATCAACCAAATCCAGTCCCCTGTCCCGAAAGTGCCCCAAGGACAAGGGTTTCGGTTACTTTTATGTTGCTAACCCCATTTGGAAGAAAAAGACACCAGAATCTTAAGCGAGATAATTCTCATAGGCGTCTAACAAACCAAGTTACTGTTCATGTCCCAGAGCAAAGGTTTTCATGTTTGGTCAACCCTAAATAGAGAAACCTTCCAGGACTTTCCACAGAATGAAAAGGTCGGAATTGGAAGTGACGAGGCAGGAGGGAATTCTCAGGATAGAAAATAATGTAGCTGTCTTCCATGGCCTGTTTCTCCTCCACTTCACTCCACTAACAGAAACCTACCCAGGCCTCTGGTTAGAAGAGTGTCCATCCCTCTCTCGTTTCCTCACATGAAATATTTTGCCAGTTCTCTCATCAAATTTCAACCTGACAGCAGCAAAATGCATTCAACAAATTTACATTATAGGTTACCTTTCTATGGGCTATTTCTAATCTTCACTACAGTTTGTGATTAAACTAAGACCCACACATCTACATAATATAACGCACAAATGCAATATGGAGAGAGCATGTTGGAAGGCATGGCACCAACCAGATAGCTCCCGTTTCTTGGTGATTTTATTTCCCTAAGTAGATGGATGTAATGCAAATTCATCCCACTCTAAAAATACTGAAAAAGCCTCAGCGTGGGGGAATTTTGTGTTTCTAATTAACCTAATTTTGTACAGCTTGAAAAGTATATTGTACAGAGAAGGAATAATGG